GTCAATGCCCAGCTCTTGCTGCATTTGGGCTCACGCTGTTCCTTGAAGTTTCTCAGAAACGCTTAATACGAACAGACGCAAAAACCAAAACACCAACTGGCGACTTGAGAATTCTTTATTGTAACACCACCATATAAACATTGTTACAACTTAGGTCTGTGAACAAATATTACAATAATGAATCACAATATTACTTCTGACGATGTTTCACTCTTCTTTCTGAACAGCGACCGATGAGACGATGACTGTCGAATTGATGCCTCCGCGAAATTTGGGGAAGTTGATTTTGAGCAAACAACCATGAATTGATCGTTCAATCTTCAAGTACATTGACAGATGCCATTATAAGCCCTATCTTCAAAGACGAGGATATGCAATTGGTATCTAACTACAGGCAGGTAAGGCTGACATGCATTATTGTAAAGGTACTTGTAACTTTTATAGGAGATCAACCATTAGCTTATGTTAAATCGCATGGCTTGTTGGCTGTGGAACAGTATTGATTCCCACCAGGACGATCCTGCCTGACAAACCTACTATTGGCTAGGGAAGACTGGGTTGAGGCCAGAGATAGATACCATCTGTTGGACGTGGTTTTTATTGATCTTAGCAAGGCATTCGACAAAGTATCCCACTTAGGTCTCCTTAGTAAACTTGAAGGTTTCGGACTAGACCAATGCCTATGTGAGTGGTTTAGAGATTACTTAATGGATAGAAGGCAGAAGGTTAGAGTTAACGGTGTACTATCAGGATGGAAAGCAGTATCCAGTGGAGTACCCCAGGGAACTGTATTGGGCCCATTGCTATCCCTATTATACGTTAATGAATTACGAGGGATTCTTACTTCATCTTCATTATTATTTGCGGACGACATTAAGTTATGGAAAACTGTAAATAATAACGAGGATAGGTCGGCCCTACAAACTGATTTAGATAAATTAGCTGAGTGGTCAAGCCTATGGAGTTTGGAAATGAATGCTAGGAAAAGCGCGGTAATGCACTTAGGTCAGAATTCTTATACGTCGTACTCCCTAGGGGAAGCAGAACTACCTGATGTTAATGAACAGAAGGACCTAGGAATCATTGTCAGCAATGATTTGAAAACAGCTGCATATCGCAATGCAGCAACAGCTAAAGCTTTTCGAATGCTATGGGCAATTCGAACGGCTTTCAAACGACTAGACGAGGACATGTTGTAAATACTCTACGCAACATATGTCAGGCCTCATCTAGAATACTGCATGCAAGCGACGAGTCCATGCTTCAAAAAGGAGGCACATATTCTGGAAGGAGTACATAGAGTAGGAACAAAATTAGTTAGTGGTATCTCACACCTTTCTCATGATAAGAGAATGAAGCATTTAAATCTGTTCCCGTAATCATATCGAAGGAAGAGATTAGTATTATTATTGCTCCCTTGGGTTCCTAGTGGAACATAGGGCTTCAACTGCACGTCTCCATTTGCTTCTGTCTTCTGCTGTACTTTTCGCCTGCACGCATGTTAGTCCACATTCTTTCAACTCCTCTTCACACGATCTCCTCCATGTCACCCTTGCACTAACGTCCCACACGCCGCTTCCCTTTCGGGTTCCACTCGAGGGCTTGACGCGCGATGTCACCCAGCGGTCTCCTCAGCGAGTGTCCGATCCATCTCCACTTTCTCCTGCATATTTGTTGGGCGATTGGTTCTTGCTTTGTTTGCTCCCATAATTCCTTGTTGGTGATTCTTTCCGGCCATCTGATCTTCAGTATTGAGCGAAGACAGTTGTTAATAAAGGTCTGCAACAGGCTGTTGCAGAAATTCTTTGTGACCCGCCCGCCAAGTTTCTGATCGGTATAGAAGAACTGACTGACTTGATGTTTGTATTGAAAATCCGACTGGATTTTGTTGTTGATGCTGGCTGAGTGATGAAGATTTCTAGATTGATTTCAGGTTGACGAATATGTTTTTCGCCTTCCCGATTCTCGATTTGACATCCTCGTCCGCTCCTCCTATAGTCGAGACAATGCTCCCTAGATCAGTGAGTGAATGAAGTAACCTCTTTCAAAACCCTCCCGTTGATGGTGATTGACGTTGGATGTTGCTGTTGTTGGTTGGTTATTTTCATAACCTAGAGTCCTGTCTTTGCTGCTTCTTCGACCAGTTTGTCGGTCGGTTTTCGCTTGTAAGTCTTCGATTGTGTGTGACATCAAACATAAATCATCCACCGCGAAATCCAGGTCTTCTAGGTTCTTCACGTCGGTCCAGGATATCCCTGTCTTCTCGTTTCCCACTGTCTGACGCATAATCCAGTCACTCCACCACAATTAGGAATATCATTGGTGATAGTAAGCACCCTTGTCTGACTCCTGTGTTTACTCCAAACGCCTCGCTGAGTTTTCCGTTGTGGATCACTTGACATGTGCCGTTGTCGTACAGCTTGTTGAATAAGGTTGATGAATATTTGGGGTACGCCATAGTACTCGAGTAATTTCCAAATTACTTCACGGTCAACGCTGTCGAAGGCCTTCTCAAAGTCTATAAAGTTGAGGTAGAGGTTTGATTGCCATTCCATGCTTTGTTCTGTGATGATGATGCGTAGAGTTGCAATTTGGTCAGTACATGATTTGCCTTTCCTGAATCCAGCTTGTTCTGGTCGGAGTTCTGTCTCCAGTGCGTCCTTTAATCTCTCCAGGATGATGCGACTCAGGATTTTACTTGGCGTCGATAGGAGCATGATTCCTCGCCAGTTCTTGCAGAGTGAGGCCTAAGTCGCCCTTCTTTGGTAGTTTCACGAGGTAACCTTTCCTCCAGTCAGTAGGCACCTTTCCCTCCTTCCAGACCTTTTGCAATAATGGAGTCAGCATGTCTGCTGTAGTCTCTGGTCCTCTTTCAGTGCTTCAGGGGGTATTCCATCTGGTCCGGCTGCTTTTCCAGCTTTCAGAAGCTTGATTGCATTCAAGACTTCAGCTCTCGTTGGAGGATTGGTGTCAACTTGCAGTTGTGTGCGCGCTGTTGTTGGTATTTCTGGACGGGTTGCAGGTGATGGTCGGTTCAAGAGTCCTTTGAAGTGATCCGCCCATTGTTTAATCTGTTTTTCTTCCTTGGTAATTGGGTTCCCTTGGCTGTCTTTTATAGGTTTCGCTTGTGTTGATCTCTTCCCGGATAGAGATTTGGTTATCTGATATAGTGTCCTCAGGTCCCTTTTGCCTGCTGCCTTCTCAGCTTCAGTGGCCAGGTTGTCGTAGAATCGTCTTTTGTCCTTCCTAGCACTCTTCTTCACTTCTTTGTCCAGTGCTGTGTAAGTTGAGCTCAGCGTCTCCTTCTCCTGTCCGTCCTTGCATTGAATCATTTTCTCTTTCACCATTCTCCTCTCTTCTATTAATTTCCAAGTGTCCGTTGAGAGCCATTCCTTGTCTTGTCTCTTCTTTCTTCCTAGAACCGTTGAACACGTTTCGTTGAGAATCGCCTTCAGAGACTTCCAATGTTCTTCCACGCATGATTCTTCAGTGATGTCGCGTAGTGTTTCCTGCTTTGCTCTGACAGTTGCAGTGAAAGTGTCTTTTGTGGTTGTGTCCTTCAGTTTGAGTGTTGAACTTGCATTGTGGCCTATCCCCAGCTATCCTCGAGGCTTTTAGTTTCACCTTGAAAGTCCCTTGTACTAGATAGTGGTCTGAACCCACATCTGCTCCTCTCCTTGACCTTGTGTCCAGTAGGCTCCGTCTCCACTTTCTTGAAATTGAGATGAAGTCTATTTGGTTCTTGGTGTTTCCATCTGGTGAAATCCATGTCGTCTTGTGTATATCCTTGTGTTTGAACACACTGCCACCAATCACCAAATCATTGAAGGCGCAGAAGTCTGAGAAGAGTTCACCATTGTCGTTCATTTCGCCGAGGGCCTCACGACCCATGGTGAGTTCTCTTCCTGTGTTGTCTCCTCCCAGCTTCGCATTCATGTCGCCCATCAGGATTTTGATATCGCCATTTGGGACGTTGTCCATTATTGCTTGTAGTTGTCTGTAGAACGCCTCCTTCTTCTCTTGTTCTGAGACGTTTGTAGGCGCATAACATTGAATGACTGTAACTTTCCTTCCTTTTGAGTTGAACCTGGCTGTCATTATCCTGGAGGAGATTGGTTCCCACTGCATGAGAGCTTTGGTTGCTGTTGGTGACATCATGATGGCCACTCCCTCGGTGTGCTCATGGTTGTCCTCTGGGTGGCCGGAAAAGATTATTGTCTCTCCAGTAGGTAGTTGGCACCTTCCAGTTCCGTTCCATCTGCTTTCGCAGATTCCCAACACTTCTATTCTGTACCTTCTCATTTCAGCGGCTATCTGGGCAGCCTTTCCAGTTTCGTACATTGTACGAACATTCCAGGTACCCATCCTTACTTTTGCTTTCATCGAAAGAAGGCACATCGGCTGACTGGCTTCCCGAAGGCTTTCACCAGCCTGCGTCATTTCACTTCCCCGATTCCAGCGAAAAGTAAGGCTATTGCTTATGTTTTTAGAATTTTTAATATATTTATTCGTTGAAGTTTCTGTAGCGATTTGGTTGTTTTATGGGGGTGGTGTTGCTAGCACCATGCTCCAACCCTCCCTCTTTATCCGGGCTTGGGACCGGCTGGAAAACTAGTAAGCTAGTAGCCTAGCAAGCTAGTATCTGGCGAGGTAGAAGGAAGAGAGGCGAATTAATTTAAGCATACCGTATACTAAAGGGTGATTTAGGAACTTACCTTTTTAACCTTTTCTCCTCTTCTAGGATACATTTACGGGGTCACCGCAAAAAGGTGCTCAAACCGAGGACGATTAAAATACGTGCAGAATTTAGATTCTCTCACAGAGTGGTCAACGCTTGGAACTCTTTACCTGATTCAGTAGTATAAGCTCCATCGGTGAACGCTCCCAAAGAGGAGTTAGATCTCTGCAGAAATATATTTTGCAAGGATTAACACAGGCCACAAGAGCCTTCTATCCTTATCATCTGAATCCGAATCTACACTTTAAATTTTCCCTTGAAGCGCTCTTATCAAACCAAGGTCGTTATTTGCGTTACATTTGGTGGTGCAGTGAGTTTTAACTATCGTTTTGGTTTGCTGTGTTCAAGGGATGGGCTCACACACCGCTACGCATAAAATACTTAGTCCACCTGTTCTATTTACAATAGGAGCTGTGTTGAAAATAAGGTATAGCCGTCACCACATGACCTTGAAATAACATTCCGATGGGTCACTGCCTTCATCCAAAAACAATGCAAGGCACATTGTGCTTAGGTCGGGAAAGTTGTGGTTATTGAGACCAAAACATGATATTCCTCTTCAAAATCTGTGATTGTCGGTTATAGTTGGATCTTAGCATCTCGGAACCCCACTTAGGGGCCAAAATCAAAGGTTTCATGGATTTCTGCCAGGTTTTGTTTTGGAGACACCTAATTTTTTCCAGTCCAAATCTGTGTCAAGTAATATTCCGGATGAGGAGAGCGATGGCTAGACATAGGTACGTAACACATATCCCAGCCATCTCAATCCGTATAGGCTTACAACTTCTCTACGTAACACTCCACGCTTAACCTTAATATTACTCGCCATATTATACAGCTTAACACGAGAGAAACATCGGACAGCTAACTAGCCTCTTTATATTTTCCACTCTTATTGGTCATGTCGTACAGATGAATGAAACGAAGCGCTGTGCAGTGCACACGTCATTTGATGGATAACTGGATATCATGTCAACGCAAGAGATGACGTAAGTCGAGGAATGCCACACGAGCCTTTTGCATCTGTGGTGAGATTTCTTTAGCTATCAATCCTTCATGGTAATGCAACTCTCCAAATAAGTGAAGTAGATAACAGGCACTGCCACTTCACTACCAATTTTTAAGCGAGGATTCGTGTCTTACATTTGATAGGAGCAAATCGCATGCCAAATGTTCGAAAGTTTTTGCCTCAATGTGTACAAAAATTTCACTTTTTCAACAACCACATTAGTTGTAAACAAGTTTCACATGTTATGAATTAGTGCTGAGGCTTAGTAATACATGGCTGACAAGATTTCGATGTGGTAAATAAATGGTGACCTTCAACACTAACGATAATTGTTTGCGTCGCTTTGTTCTAATTAATATATGCAACAATTTTGTTACTTTTTTATCCAGATAAAATATTAAATAAGTGTGTGGAAATGTAGTATATGTTGGCTTATGCGCTCAACTTTTAGCTAGTTGGCCACGGATTCGAGTCCTATTCCTACTTAAACTTAGCTGCTGGAATTACTCCAGAGATGTTTAAGAACAGTGGTGCCGAATCGCCGTTTGGAAACCTGAAATAGTCCCAATAGACTGGCATAAGTCATTTAATATTCCTGTATGCGGGGAGGGAGACAGGTCTTCCTGTGATAATCATGGGGAGATTGGCTTGACTAATAAGCTATTTAAGATTGTTGGCTCAGTAATCATGTGTAGATTAAGTAGTGCTCGGGAGGAGCAAACATGAGAGAGCCAGACAGGCTCTAGGCCAGGAAGAGGGTTTATTAGTCTTCTCTTCACCCTTGGACAGACTCTGGAATACAGGGATACTTATGGGTGTCCAACAATTGCCATGTTTCTTGACTCAAAGACGGAATTCGACTCCGTCGACCAAGAGGTACTATGGCAATGTTTGGCCGTAAGGGGAACGACGAAAAAGTACATCACACCTATCAAGACAGCCAAGTAAAGGCTTACAGAGAGTTGTCATCTGAAGTGATGACAACCGTTGGTGTCCACCAGGGATGTCCATTGCCTCCATTTCTGTTTAATTTCATCGACAATGTACTAATGGATTTAACCATAACTGACTTCAGCAACTCGGATAGACTTGTTACCAGGGAGTAGTCATGTTGATTTAGAGTATGGCGATGATATAGTCCTCCTAGATGGAGACGATAACCTCCAGAGTCTTCTGAACACCTTGAGCGGCAGCAATCTTCGAATGTCTGGCATCCGATTCGCTTCTGTCAAATGTAAGATGATGCTACAGGACTGGACTACACCGACCCCTAGGTTGAAAATAGGGAGTAAAATGGTAAAGCGTGTTGAGCACTTCACTTATTCGGAAAGTTGCATCAGCCAACACAAGCGGGTTAGTCGCTGACGAAATCTCATCATGGATACGAAAGGCTCGTTTGATATTTCCCAACTTATGCTATATCTGGCTTAGCTATATAGCGTTGTATCTCCCGTGTTAGGGGGTGGGTTTAATAGGCTGTGTAATATTGAGTTGGTGAGGCATCGGTGGAGTAAGTACTAAGTAAGGAGGGGAAATCAATCAATGAGGTTGTGAAGCTGCATCGATTGAAATGCCTAGAACATGTGCTGTGCATTCCAAGCCATTTCTTTCATCAACAAGCAACTTTAGGTGACAGAATCAGATTGGAAAAGGGTTAGAGGTGGTCAAACCGAAATCTGGCACAAGTCCATGAAATATTTGACAGTTAATGTGAAGCAGCCACGTAGGGAGGTTCGTAGCCCTTAGAATGCTAATCACCGATAGCTGGAGACATTTGGTGATATGGCGCAAAATCGTTCCCAATGGCGCTGATGCATTCATTTTTTGTGATCTTTCATATCCAGTCAAATCCTAATGTTTTCCCATCTTACTACTATTCTTACCCCCCTCACAATTCTGCTTTTTGTCATTCTTTGGAATATCTTCTGCACTTCTGTGCAAATTTTTATGTTGAAACCAGTCAGCCAGCTAGCCACTTAAGCCTAAGAAGCAGAATATTTTTATCAAATCTGATACATGAAGGATCTATCTCAGGTCATTACTGTCAAATTACTAAATGAAACTGCTGAAACTATTGAATAGTATACTAGAATTGAATATTTATTGATTATAGAAAATCAAAACAAGTGATTCGGCGAAGAGGCTCTTTTCAACGAATTTATTATCAAGTTGTACAATCGTATATATATGGCGCTATAAGAAGTGCAATCATTGAGCATCTGGTGCGTACTGATCACCCTATCTCTACGACCTCAGCCTTTAAAGTCATCTACAAGGCGAAAAATAATTTGCCCGAATTATTACTTATCCTATTCATATGTATTTCTGAAGCTTTGGTCATCGAAATAGAAAAGCCAAAAGCCAAATGTATACAGAAAAAGCTTGTTCAACCCCTTAACTTTCATGGTCGTAGTTCGTCGACGAGGCTATAAAGTTACATAGATTGAGATGGCTAGGTCACGTGCTGCGCATGCCTAACCATCGCCTACCCCGACGGGCATTGCTATCTGATATAGGTGCAGGTTGGAAAATAGCCAGTGGTGGCCAAACAAAAACATGGCATCAATCCATGAAATCCTTGACAGTTAAACTGAGTCAGGTAGGGAGATGCAGACTCCCGGGTTGGGGCCCTCGGGACTCTTGGAGTCAATGGCTGGAGACAATAGGTGACATGGCTCAAAATCGTTGTCAATGGCCAGCGCAGATGTATTCAGTCTCTGTAATCTTTCATATTCCTTTCTACCACTACCCATTCTGTTCCACTCTTATACTTGTCAAACTCTATTGATTCTCTTCACTCATCTTCTTGTCTACGTTTGTGTGCTATTTGGAACGTGGCAACTCGAACTGGTACACTTCGGTGCGAAGTTCTATGTTGAATCCAGACAGACAGACAGACGTCTATGCTAAAGTATGGTAATCCCCATTTATACTTCGGCTCTACTTATTTTTTTCGTTTTGTGTATTCAGTTTGAATATCCTTCCCTTATTACGTTTACTGTTACTATAACGTTTTTTACTGAAGTGTTTTTCGATCATATTTCACTTAGCCCACTTGTCATTCCAAATCAAAATTATTTTTGTAATGTTAAATTGCTACCAAATTTCATGGATTTTTACGTAACGTTCTTATTTTATTTGCCTCCTAATGAGTAACTAGTGTCAATGTAGAACTATGCACAGATGTCCAGCAGCTCGAGTCGCCACTCTCCTATGTGGCACAAAGCAAGAGAAGAGGGTAAACAGAGATTCAGCGTAAGAGATATAATAAACAGAAGTGCTATGGCAAAACAATAGCAGTAACATGAAAGAAAAGTAGAGGTTTATTGGATATGATAGATTACAGAGAGTGAATGCATCTGCGCCAGCCAGTCAGCTATTGAGAACGATGAGTTTGACTCATCTCATTGATTGTCTCTAGCCTTCATTGATTCTTACCATCCCGAGGACCTCAACCACTCAGAAAATCTACATCTCCCTAAATGGCCGGTTGGCTTAAACTAACTGTTATGGATTTGATTGACTGATGAAGCCATGTTTTGGTTTGATCTGATCACCATGTGATTGCTGTTTTCCAACCTGATCCATACTGTGTCAGCTAACATTGACCGTTCGTCGAGGAAGGCGATGGCTAGACATGCAATCTATGTAACTTCACAACCTCGCTGATTGACTCCTCCTCTTTATTCAGCACTCACTCGACCGATAACCTAACCTCAGTATTGCTCAATATTGCCTACTAATCTTATAATTTTACACCCCTTCCAACTTTTATACATCTTATGAATTATTCTATATGTGACATTCATCATCACATTTAACTATGAATATAATCACAAGCATTTTAGTTTTAATTGCATTTCATACTACTATTATTTTATTATGTATTTACACCTTTGATTCAATTTCCTCACCTGACAGTTTCCTAAAAACCGTGTATATATATACGATTGTAGAGCATAATAAGAAATTCGTTGAAAAGAGTCTCTTCTCTGAATCACTTGTTCAGGCAGTTAACCTGGGGTTCTAGTTGGAAGCTGTGACCAGTAGGGTACAGCAGATTGAAGATGAGTCAATAACTTATCGAAGAAGACATTGCGAAATGGTCGCGCTATGTCGTGAATTGGCAGAAGTTAGAATTCAGGGATCATTGGATTGGGTCCCAGTGGCTCAATGGTCTACGATCTGGCTCGCCTTGTAACGAGTAGGTCCTGGATTCGAATCCTTGCTGTGGGTGCCTACTGATGAAGAGTACCAAACTACGACGAAACAACTGTCCAGCACTTCAAGGTTTTCCAGTGGTTCTCCATTGAATCACTTTTATTGATTTTCTATGTATATCCCAATGGGAATTTTCCACAAATTTATTGATTAGACGTTTATGCTTTTCTTTTCATTTTTAGCTGTGACGCGAGTGTATGCGTGTCTGTGTGAATATATGTCACCAACTCTTGGAAGTGAATACCCTAACAGTAAATAACATTGTGTTGGACATCGACTATGAAATATAACTGGGACTACAATGTTATCTGCATACTCAGTGTATATATTCCTCTACTACTAAAACTATCTTATAATTCAGCTACTGTGATACTTCCACCAAAATTACTTGTTATCTCACTGGATGGTTTTCGTCATGATTATTTAGATCGTGCTAAAGAAAGGCGGATTAATATTTCTGGATTTGAAAAAATTTGGAATTCAGGATTTCGTATAGCAAAAGTACACAATGAATTTATTACACGTACGGGACCAAATCATATCTCTATGGTAACTGGTCTACATGAAGAAAGTCATGGAATTATTGATAATGTATTTTATGATCCTATGCTAAATGATACATTTGATTTAGTCAATGAAATACATGCACCTCAATCAAAATGGTATGATGTTGGTTCAGAGCCGATATGGGTAACAAATCAACGTCATGGTTATCAAAGTGCTGTCTACTTTTGGCCTGGTAGTGATACAAGTATTAAAGGGTATTTACCGTCATATTATCATACACCGTATAATCCTGAGATTTCTTTAACTAAACGTATAGATACAATTGTTCAATCACTGACTTCTGAGAATGTGACACTTGGTTTAATCTACTATCATGAACCTGATTCACAGGGACATATCAGTGGACCAGATTCCCCAGAGATTTATAATGTTATCCGGGAATTAAATCATGATATGGAGTATTTATTATCGTTAATCGATAAACAACCAGGATTGAAGGCATCATTGAACATTATTCTAACAAGTGATCATGGTATGTCGTCGGTGAGTACTAATCGGACAATTATTCTGCATGATTATATCGACGAAAATTGGTATTACAGTCCTGGAGCAGATCATCGTATTGTTTGGTTGTTATGGCCTAAAAATGGTATATCATCCGATGATCTTTATAAACGACTGGTTAAGAAACATTCAAAAATGAATGTTTATCTCAGGGAAAATGTACCAAATCGATTACATTATTCAAATAGTCAAAGAATTAGCCCATTAGTTGTTTATTGTGAACCAGGGTGGATGATTGTGAAGTCAAAAGAATCAATTGCAGAGTTTAGTGAGTAATTTGTGCATTTATTGATTTTATTCTCTATGCCAATTTATTCCTTTGGTTTTTTTTGTGGAACATTAGGACTGTAGGCTTTATAGGCTTTGGAGTTACAATAGAGCATTCACTGATTCCAACATAGAAATTTTGTGCGGGAGTGCAGTACTTCTACGTGGCACACCGTTTAAGATAGTTCGGACATGTGTTACGTATGCCTAGTCATTGCCTTCCTCGACCGACGGGCAATGTTAGCTGACATAGGGTCAGACTGAAAAAGAGCTAGCCAGTGGTGGTCAAACCAAAACATGGCACCAGTTAATGAAATCCACAACAGTTCGTTTAAGCCACGTAGGAGGGTGGTTGGAGTCCTCGGGACGGTAAAAATCTATGGTTGGAAACAACTGGTGACATGGCTCAAAATCGTACTCAGTGGCTAGCGCAGATGCATCCACTCCTTGTGACTTATGATTTCAAATGAAACTGTTTTGTTCTTCGTTATTACTCTTCCTTTGTCTCACACCTCTGCTCACTGTTTCTATTACGCTTTTCTTGTACTTTCTTCTCTTGCTTCGCGTGCTACACGGCGTGTGGCGACTTGAACTTCCGCACATCTGTGGAAAGTTCTATGTCGAAAACAGACAGACAGACGTGGTACGCTTTAAGTAGCACTAATAGAATGACTTAAGAGAGAATGAAAAAGGGATTCGCGAGAATGATAATATGCATGAATATGAGGGAGCAACCATAGGAACACACTAGCTGACTGACTGACTGACTGGTTTCAACATAAAACTTTGCATCGATGTGCAGCAGTTCGAGTCACCACACAGAGAAAAACAATAAGGTGTAGTGGATATGGCATGTGACAATGACTGAGAACGATTTTGAGCCATATTACGAATTCTCTTCGGCCATTGATTCTTAGAATCTTAATTGGCTGGCTTAAAGTAACTGTCTTAGATTTCATGGATTGATGACACAAGTTTTGGTTTGTCTATCACTAGCTCTTTTCCAATCGGATCCATCCTATGCGTCAGCTAAGATTGACCGTTAGTCGAGGAAAGCGATGTCGTAGAGATAGAGTCGGTTGGCACATACATCACATGAGCTTTCTGCATATATGGTGAGATTTCGTCAAGAATGCGTACTTTGGGACTGGCTTATACAACTTCTCAAATAAGTTAGGTAGTCGACATGCTAAACTAAATCACTATGTAACTAAAAGAGTCGGTGTAATCCAGTCCTCTTACATTTGACAGGAGCGAAACACATGCAAAACACTTGAATATTTCTAATCACCGTGTTCAAAAGACTCGATTTTATCAGCTGAGTAACAGTAGTGTTTATTTTTTTTATGAGGCGGGGTTTCTAGCTTCATTTCTAACCTCTCTTCTCTATAGGGTGTGTTATCAATAAAGCCAGACTTAGAAGTGTATTGGCCGGAGATCAAACTCTGGACCATTTGTAGCGTATTTGGCGGGTACCTTCCATTGAACCACCGATACACATCATTCATTGGTTGTTTATTACAGAAAAATCTCCATTTAGGCATTTAGAGGGGAGAAGGATTGAGTGAAGAAACATTTGTGTTTCAATTAGATCCTCGTCTACGTTTCTCTCCCCATATATAATACCAATCTAGTGGTGATAACTTTGTTAATACTAATGAATGAATATCGATGTGTCAAAGGTGGGGACCCGAATAATTGACCAAAAAAAATAATAAAAGCAATTACAGGGTATAAATAATTACAACAAGTGGATTGTATAATGTGTTATTTTGGCTAAATAAGACGAGTAATTAAGAATTTAATAACTCCCATTGTTGCACTAAGAACACAATATTCAGCGAAGAGACTCTTTTCAACCAATTTATTATCATGCTGTACAATCGTATACGGTTTTTTTTAAAGAAATTATATCCGGTGTGGGAATTAGGTCAAACGTGTGAATCCATGAAATAATAATAGTATGAAATGCAATTAAAATATTTGTGATTGTAATCATAGTTTAATGTCCAGTGAGGAAATAATTGTCATACATAGAATGTCTGTCTGTCTGTTTTCGACATAGAACTTTCCACAGATGTGCGACAGTTCAATTCTCCACACTTCATGTAGTACACAAAGCAAGAGAAGAAAGTAGAAGAAATGCATAGTAGAGAGAGTAAACAGAGCTGTGAGACAAAGGAATAGTAATAACGAAGAACAAAACAGTTTCATTGGAAATCATAAGTCACAAGGAGTGGATACATCTACGCCATTGAGAACGATTTTGAGCCATGTCATCATTTGTTTCCAATGATTGGTTTTTACCGTCCCGGGACCCCAACCAGGAAGTCTACACCTTCCTACGTGACTTAAACTAACTGTTGTGGATTTCATTGACTGGTGACATGTTTTTGTTTGACCTCCGCTAGCTTTTTTCCAGCCTGACTTTATATCTGCTAACATTGCTCGTCGAGGAAGGCGATGACTAGGCATACGTAACACATAGAATAATACATAATTATAGTATTAGTAGGCGAATATAAAATGTTACATAATATGGTGTGAAATTTGATAAGATAGAATTCAATATTGTAAAAATAAATAAAAATTAACAATTTTGGATTTAGAATGACATATGGGACAAGCGGGAACAATTCAGAGTGAGAATAACAATAATAATTATAATCGTAGTAATAAGGGAAAGGTACATAAAATAACTAAATAAACAAAATAAATAAATATCTATCCCTCTATGGCTAAGGCAGAAGTAGTAGAGATTGTACATAGTTCTTTTTGTACACAAAGGTCTGGCTTAAAGTCATGAATCGCCAAAGCCTTAGCTTTCTGTAGAAGTATGTAACGAAGAAAGCATGGGAAGTTAGCATGGATTCTATATATGATCTTAAAATCATGGTCAAGGTTGACAGAGTGACAGAAGTCGATCAGGTGTTCCAGAATACAACTTCGCATACACTTCCTTTCTCCCTTGTGAAACCATGCTGCTGGAATAAGTTCTCATATCCGTGTGGAAAGCGTCCTCTGACTACGGCCAGTGTACCTTGCTCCACAAGAGCAGGTGAACTGGTAGATTCACTTGGAGGCGGCCAGACAGGGGAGCTTATCTTTTATAGAGGTAGAGAACAACTTGCGTCATATGTAATTTTGCTGCAAAGAACGTCTTACTGACTGATTTAGAGAGACGATTTTCGAGCATATTTGGAGGTTGATCACCTTTGAATTCCAAGTTCATGAATAAGGATTCCTTAGGAACTGTTGTCAGTGACCAGTTTACACTGCTTATCTTTCATGTTGCTGTCAATAAATCGGTTAGGGTAACTGCTTTCTGCGAATGTGGCTTTTAAGAAGTCAAGTTCTGAGTCAACGCAATCAGAACTACAAATTTTCTTTACCCTAAAGCAGAGTGAATGAATAAGGTTCCTTTTCCTAGAGATAGGCGCCCAAGTATAGAAATTAGTTGTTCATTCCATGTATGTTTCCGGTGGATGGATCTTTTGAGATATCCGTCATTACGTCTACTAAGGCACACATCAATATTCCTTTTCTATGGTGAATTGTAAAGAAGGATGGCAGTTATTGAAAGCAAACAAGACATCATCGAGAATTACGTTATTATCGCAGATAATGAAAATGTCGTCTATGTCTGGATTCAACATAGAACGTGGCACCGAAGTGCGACAGTTCGAGTTACCACGTTCTAAAGTCGTCTATGTATCTTTTATAAATGTCGAAATGATCAATGGTTTCACGAAGTTGAGAGTTTCCAAGCCTTGCCATAAAGCAATCAGCCAGCAAAGGGCCCAGTGGTGATCCCATGGCAATGCCATCCCTCTGTCTAAAAATCTGATTGTTGAAGGTGAACTGAACATTTGACGTTCATCTCAATAAAAGTTCTTTGAGGTGGATTGTCGGCAACCCTATTTCTAAACTATGTGTATCAATATACTCACATATATAGCGAACAGTTTCCATGAGAGGTACATCGGTAAATAGCGAGGTCATATCTAATGAGAAAACATGACTTTTTCTGAGACATTAAAATCTTTAATGCTATCAATAAATTTAAACATATCATCCATTGAAAACTTGGATACTTGCGTTCTGACTGGTTCCAGTATTTCAGCTAGCCATTGAGCAATTTCGTGATAAGGAGAACTCGCCATATAGAGGACTGGACGGACGGGTAATACTGTCTTGTGAATTTTCGGTAGTCCATACAAACTTGGTATCATGAAGCCTACTGGTTGGATGCATTCATATATTTCTGACGAGGTTACTGACTTATTCCTCATGTTCTTTAAGACATCAGTCAGTTGATTTTTAATTAGATGTGTCTTGTTCTTTTCACCATCAGGTTTGGCGAATTTTATTTGGTCAGAAAGGATTGCTGAGATTTTATCGTTATAATCTTGGCTATCCATAACTACAACACCTCCACATTTGTCTGGAAGGTATATGATAATTCACAAAATTTCATGCCGGATCGGCCGTGGCCCGGATTAACAACGACCGCGCTTCCTGCTGCCGTGTCACAGGGCGGGAGTGATAAATATGCTACTGAGGCACACAAAACAACGAAGAACAAACAAAAACAGGCCGCGTGTGACCGGCCACAAGCAGTTGTCCCCTGGGCTCTGCGGTCACGCAACCAACTTCCACGGTGTGGGCAGCCGGGAAGTAACAAATGCCCTCACAATCCGAAATGCACACAAAACCTCTCTAATCCTCACTTATCTTTGTCTTCATCTTCATCTCTATTACCTTGCCTTCCTTCCACTGATGCAACTCCTCTACTTGATGGCTCCTCACTCCCTCTTCACTCTGTGTCCACTAAAAACGACGAAAGCCAAAAAACCACCACGGATAGTCTCCTAAAGCCACGCCACCAATTTCATATAGGAGCTCTTAATGTTAGGACACTTTGCCAAATAGGACAACAAGCATCACTAGCTAAGACCCTGGCATCTCGAGCCATTGATGTATGTTGTGTTTCAGAAACAC